ACTATCCTTATGAAAAACCAGCACTGTGCGAAGATTAAAAAAGTCAAGGGGGCCTAGGTCTGAACTATTATTCTGAAGCTACAGCCTTCTGAAGTTATTGGATTCAGGTGCTCAGTGTACTTCTCTATCTGTAGAGTAGGGAAGACATGTTAAGTTCTACAGTACTTAGGGCACAATTGACCCATTGTGAATCCAGGGAGCTGTCGTCCTTAGCTCATTATCCATCTTGCCATTTCTAGGAAGGTGGACAAGTCACCAAAGCCTAAAAACTACCACACGTTGATTATATGAGTACAAGTACCCACAGTTCTCGCAATAGCTTGACAGGTACGATAGTATCCGCTAATAGGTTCTTCATCAATTATTTAGGAAATGAATATATGATTTTTTTAACTTGTCGTCACCTAAAATATATTGGAACTCTTATGAGTCCGGGTTTGTTTATACTCTCATCAATTTGAAACTTTCCGTCATTGCCTTTAAATATTTTATCTTGTATGTAAGACGACAGTGCAAATTTAATCTGATATATCCCAATCGTAAAGTCATTTAGGTATTCTAAATCGAAAATGAGAAAGTTGGCAAAATCATCTTTATGAAGTCTTCACGATTGACCATTTCTTCTAATTAGATTGTTAGTCCCAACTCTAGCTTGTACCAGATTAGAATTTAATAATCTTGTAAATAATTGTGGATCAACTTCATTTTTAGCACCTTACATATAAGTCAGTGGGTGATACTTATTTAATCATGATTCAGAGTTTTTTTGAAAATTGAATGGTGCTGTTACCTTGTTTACTTTAGGTATGTTTTATGCATGCGTGAAAGCATAAGATTTCTGGTGCTGCTCTAGCAGCACTTATTGGTGTGGTCACAGAATAATAAAGAATCAGAATGCCCACTCTGCTTGGAAAACTAAGTAGGTGCATCTCGTTCACGCAGACCAAATCAGCCATATTTTAGTCGGAACCAGTGCTGTTCAGTGACATTTTATCTAGTGTGTATAGACAAATTAACCCGGTTTAATTTATTTACTGCAACTACAGACATAATATGCACTATTTTATTCTTACTTATAGTTGAATAATAGAAAATAGGTAAAAGAAATAATAAATAAGACTTACTCACAATCAATTTAATTTAACTATTCAGACGACCGGTTTCGCTTTCTACAATATGCAAAGCATCTTCAGGTCTCGATACAAAGTTAAATAAATGATTTAATTAAATTAAATCTAATGAAACATAAATTAAATCTATTTACATTCATTAAATCATTAAATCTAATAACACAAAAAACTCATTGTCTCTAAGTCTGAGATGTAGTGCATTCAAGTCATCCCCCTTTTTAAATTTAATGTTTGTTTCGTCCCTTTTAAGTGTTTTCTGTGTATTTTAAATTGTCCTTTAGTGTTTTAACTTTAATAATTTTATATACTTGACTTCGCAATAATTTGCCATATATGCCAATAGAACTTTATCAAAGTAATTTGATAATTACAAGTTGTAAGAATTGCACACCCACACAATTTGTATATCTAATATCATGCATTGTCATACATCTGTCACCTTTATAAAATAAAATCTCAATAAATAACACGCATTTCCTAAATATTATATCTTTTGAATAAATATAAATAACTTTTAAATAATTCAATGGTATAGAACATCACTTTCATCTAACAAACAATCACATTACACCTATCTCTACTTCATTGGATAAAATCTCCTCAAGAACTTCCGTTTATTGTCAATTACAATAGCAGACTTAAGTTCTCCATTCAACAATACAGAATAGTTTGAACCATGTTCTTCCAACCATCAATTAATAGAGTACCGGCATCATTTATTTAACTTTGTATCGAGACCTGGAGATGATTTGCATATTGTAGAAAGCGAAACCGGTCGTCTGGATAGGTAAATTAAATTGATTGTGAGTAAGTCTTATTTATTATTTCTTTTACCTATTTGAAATGGACTCACACAAGCAACACATTATTGATTTTTGAAGAATAGATTTAATTATTTCAAATGTACTAAATTATTAATCTCTATGAATTTAAATTACAGTTCTGTCTGTGTTTTCGTCTAAAACATGGCGTTGGCATGCTGACAAACTTTAGAGGCGCTATCGGAGAGTGGTATTCTGATTGTTTATTATTTGTGGTGTGGTTCTGTTTGGCCAGATTGAACGATTTATCGTCAATTGGGCTACTTTTAACAAGTCTTTGAGACAAAAAATTTAGGAAAATCGCAAGTCACAAATTAGGCGATTTTATACTTTTAAGCACAAGTCACTTTTTCATAAACAGATTTTTTCATTTTCATCCAATTACATTTGTTGCAATCTCTGACCTTAACAACGTGTAAACGTTGTAAATTCCGTGTTCCGTTTAAACACACCTATTTATGCACCTGTAAAAACGGCAACTTGCGTTGCTACCTAACCTAAAAAACTGTTTGCTGAAAGAAAATGCACATAGATAAGTAATATAGTATAAACGCATGCTAAATCGGATTTTGGTATAAATTTGAAGACGGGGAGTTAAAAAAGAAATGTAAAAAATGCCGTTCCCGTTTATTATTTCCGCTGAATACAATAAGTCACGAGAAGGTAAAAAACAGCGATATGGGTAACTGGGCAAAATATGCGAAACAATGGGAGCAGGAACCATTATTTAAGGTTAGTAGATATGTTTATTTTTGCTGCGTGGGATTTCCGGATTTTTTAGCAGGGCTTAATGCATGAGCTCAAAATATTAAGTAAGTAGGTATGGGATTACAGTAGGTAAAATTTGGTATTTTTAGGGTGGTTGATCGGAAAACAAAAAAATATGCGATCAAGTACTTACTGTATTAATTACCGAGTATACAGAGAGTTATTGTAAAGTATTTAACATAGAACTGCGCTCACACGAAGCTGAATTATAAAAACATTCTAAGCATAAAAGTAAGTAAATGTCAAAAATAGATAAAACGCAGCTGAGTATACGTAGCGTTGGTAATGATATTTACACAGATTTTTGTCTTATTTATAACCTTCTTTTAATTTTAGGTATTAATAAAATAAGCCATATGCGAAAGAGAAAATAACTTATTCTAATTGCTTATGTAGCAACTCATACCACAATGAGAGGTGATGACCACATTGGGGAGAAAATAAATAAGCTATATGCCAAATCAACTTCTGCTAGCTCATTAACATAATCCACCTCAAATGCAGCACAGCCAGAAACTATAAAATTTCACATAACTAAGTGTTGAGCTTTAATCAAAGAAGTAATAGCTCTGTCGCTAATGTTTGAGCTTATTAAAGATTTAGGGTATTCTTCATTTTCTATAATTGTTGATGAATAGACAGATGTTTCTACTGAAAAGTTATTGTGTGTCTGTGTTAAATACTATTCGCAAACTAAAATGAAATTATAACACAATTTCTTACATTTATTGCTGTAAATCAGGCAACAGCGAAACATTTATTTACATGTATTTTTGATTTTTTTTTAAGTATTATATGCAATTTAAACATACTTATTGGTATTGGCACAGATGGTGCTAATAGTTTATGTGGAACATGTCATTCTTTATATACATAATGAAAATAAATTTAGGTCTTTATAATTTAATTTTAGTGAAATATAGTTGCCATACCTTGTATTTGTGTGCTTCCAAATTCTCAGAAGTTTTTAAAGATGAGGTAGATTTTTTATTAACAGGGACATATAATCGGCTCAGGTATAGTTCACTAAGAGTTGCTAAGTACAATAAATAACAACATTAATTTAAATAAATAAAATGAGTTTTCCAAATTAACTCAGCTATCAGTTGTTGAAAAAATTCTTTTCCAGTATTTGAAGCTGGAGACATTTTGTTCCATTTACTATGTAACAGAAAGGTGCCACAAAACTAAAATATTATATGACACCTATAAAAATGAAGAAAATAATCAATTCTGACAAACGCTGACCTGGCTTTTTCAATTCTTTGTTTTATCTCAACTGAGTGGTCCCATTGGTCGTCTATGGTGGTTCCTAAATAGTAGTAACGGGGCACTTGGAATATTTGTTGCTGATCTACCAGTAATTGACTAGGTGGAATATGCTTCTTACTGATGACCATGTACTTTGTATTCTTGATGTTACAATCGAGCCCGCATTCTTGACTGATTGTTCTCATGACGTGTTCCGAATAGACGTTAAATAATAGGGGAGAGAGTAGTTAGTCCTGCAGTACTCCTTTCTTTATTGCAACTTTTTCAGTTAGTTGGTCTTTCACCCGAATGATTGCTCACTGGTTGTAGTATATGTTCTTGATTACTCGAAAGTCTTTGTTATCCAGATCAGTTGCCTTCCGTATATCCATGAGCTAATCGTGCTTGGTTCTGTCGAAAGTCTGGTAGTCGATAAAGCATACATAAATATCGCAGTTGACGTCTCTGCACCTTTGAAATAATACCTGAACCGTGAACAAGGCTTCTCTTGTACCTAACGCATTTCCGAATCCAAAGTGCGTTAGTAAGGTCTATGACTCGCATTTCTGATAAATCTTCTGTGTATTATCTTTAAGAAGGTGTTAAGAATGTGGCTCATTAGACTGATAATACGATGCTCTTCTCTTTTTTTGCCTCTCTGGGGTTTTTCTCGAGAGGAAAATCATATACTACCATTATTCTATCAATTATATCAATATTTATCAATTATAAATCATATACTTTATTAAAAATATCTTTTGTTTTCACCTAAACTTTATATAAAATTAACAACCTGAGCCGAATTACAATTTAATGTAAGTGTATTGTCATTTTGTCTGATCAGACTATATCTGGTTAATAATCTTATAAAAATGTTTATTAGAAGTATGTTCTGTAAGTTCCAAAAGTTGTAATTTTTTTTCCGCAATATTTTGTATATTATTCGCATTAAACTTTTTTTGTTATTTCAGATGTGAGATTAATATATTCTTACATTACGCTTAGGATAGAAACATTTTAACATACTTACATTGCTGAAAGAAAATATAAACAGCATTTGCAGTAAAATAAATCCTATTCTCGTAGCAGGCTTTATTGCTCTTAAAACACCTACACAATTACCTTCGCTATTAAACTCAAAATATTGCCCAAATTTAAAAGTTGAGTATATAAGGGAACCTACACCAAAACCTGAAATAATAAATAATATCACTTGTCTCATATTTAACAATTAATCAAAAAAGTGATGGATTCGACCGACCGTTACTTGATGAAAATTCATTTTAGATGGCAATAAAACACTGAAATCTTTGATTCATTTAATTTGACGTACAAAATCTTTTTCCTAGTATTCCTAGAATCATCTAAAGACAAAAATTTCAAAACATTCCGTATTTAAACAGTTTTTATATTGGTGGAGTTACGTAGACGGTGTACTGGAATGTTTTTTAGGAACTGATAGGTAACTTGACCAATTTTGTTTGTATATTAATGTATTTCAGTCATATTGAATTTACAAAAGAAACAGAACAAAATTAATCCATAAATTTCTTAGATTTAAAAATTATCAGACTTAAAAACAAACATTAGTTTTCCATATTTCGATAACCTACCTATACTGACACGACTATACCCAATTCATCATCTCATCTTACACAACATACACTGGCAGCCTATTATAGTACACTACATAGATTAATAAAATTTAAAATCAAATACTACACAAGAAAGCCCTGAAATTAGTATTTCCACTACCAGCGAACCCAGTATCTTCTGCTGTTCTGGTATATTCAGATCCCGCAACAAAACGTTAAAAGTTTCTGGTCATCACCGTCATAAAAGAAACTGGCAAAAAATATAATAGACTACAATACATAAAATAAAAAAGACAAGAAATTCGAATGAAATAGAATACTTATATATTTTGTTAGTTATTACTTTTTTTACTTGATTAATTGAACAAATTAAAAACATAACTTAATTGTTCTCAGGGTGAAAAATATCCTTATATTAAACTATGTTATGTGAGTTCAAACATTTCTTAGTTGTCATTTATCGGGATAGAGAAAACAGGATAACTAAGAAATCTCTAAGAAAATTGGTATTACTAAGTAATAACATAACAAATGGCGCCCAACGTGGGGTGCCATTTGTTGTTATTACTTTTTTTACTTAAGTAAACAAACCAAAAAAAAACATAACTTAATTGTTCTCAGGGTAAAAATCTCCTTATATTAACCTATGTTGTGTAGGTCCAAAGATTTCTTAGTTGTCATTTGATCATCGAAAGGAAAGATTGCGTTTCGATAGAGAGTGTGTCGGGAGTTTGGATACCGGCATTGTAAAAGGAAGTTCGCAGAATTGTGACAGGAGATTACAAGTCGATGAAAAGATATCCTTGGATCCAAAGTCTGGAAAACGTAGGAAATAGTTTGGCGGCACGAAGTTAAGAGAAAGAGGTCCTTGTGTCATTGAGAAGCAGCTGAGTGTTTAAAGAATTAAATTTAAAGTGTCAATTGTTGAAGAATTGAGTCAGGTCTTTCGTACAGTCACTGCAGGAGGATTGCAGATACGAAAAGAAGAAAGCCAATGCGAATGGTGCCAGATCACATTGCTGTGGAGCGTGGACGATTCTGGGTATGGTCTACATACAATCTACGAAGGAAAGGTTAGTGAATTTCTGTTCAGAATTGAAAATTTTGTAACTGTGAATGAATTTTGTTGACATCATTGTCATTACCATTTTAACTCAAGAGTAGACTTCATTTGTAAAATGTTTTAAAGTTTTGTTTTTGCAATAAAGTAAATATAAAAAAATCAGATAGATAAAAAGTTTTAAAGATATTCCTTGAAATTGGCTTTAAAGTGGTTTTGTCTTCAAGAAAACTTTGTTGAAAAAATATTTTTTTGTGTAAATTTTATTGTATTCATTTATGCTGATTGATAAGATAGCGGCAAATTTTGATAATTGTTTTATTCTTCTTTAAATAAAATAAAGAACACAATTTTTTTTTGTAACATACTATTTTTATTATTATCCTTTTTTCTCTATCCCGATAAAGCACAACTAAGAACTGTTTGGACCCACAAAACAGGTTAGTATAAGTAGATTTTTTACCCTGACAAAAATTAAGTTTTATGTTTTTTTTTATTTGCTCAATTAATAAAGTAAAAAAAGTAATAACATAACAGTATAATGAGTTTTAACGTAAATTCGTTTATAACAAGTTAGTCCTATACAAACACACACTCAAGTTTCTTTGGATTAATAGAATACAACCCTGGGTTTAGGCCACTGAAAGTAATATTCAGTTAGTTAAAGCATTCCAAAACTTAGTGCTCACGATCAATTTAAATGATCCTTGGTACATAAGAAAAATATCCTTTGACATACACAAACATATAAAAATAAAATATATAAGTACTATGTATATAAGTATTAATAAAATAACATAAATATTTTACGTAAGTACTTACCTACAACACCCATTCTAAAGTAGAAACTGCCATAACGCACATACAATTTTTGTTTATAACTGTCCATAGTTTCGTTTGATCCATTGCTCTGATTATTGTAAGAAAAAATTTCAGTAATAAGGGATCTAGTTCTTGTATGTATCATGTACATGTATGCTAAAAATATTGTACTTCCTACATATAAATATATGTAAAATACCTGCAAAAAAGTTTATCATGTATGTATAATACTATAATATTGTTTTAAAGCTGTCTTCGTATGGATTTTACTGCAGTTTGTTTTAGTTATTATATAATGGAAATTTAATGAAAAAATGACATATTAACTATTTTATTTTAGAACTCTATCTCCAAATTAAAGCAAGGCCAGTCTTTTTAAGGTGTCATCCATTTTATTCATTAAACCTTAAAGAAATGGTATAAAGTTTCATTAAAGCTTAAACAAAGCAAGAAAACATTAACATCATTTTGTTTTAAGGTAGTATGACACTATGTATTTTCTTGTATCATTTCTTATATCGTTTCTGATATAGAAAGTTATTTGTGTTTTCTTGTATCGTTTCTTGCACGTACATTTTTGCCCTGTATGACACTATGCAAGTTCTTTTACCAGAAATTGTATGTGATTTGGCACATGATTGGTCGAAATTTTGACACCTATAAAAATAGAACTGCAGTACCTGAGGACCCCAAGCTACTGGGAACTGAGGAAAAATGCTGTTGATTATTTTTTTAAATACTGTGGTGCAAAAATGAAAGAAATAAAATGTCCCAATATTAAAACTAAATTGGAAACCACAATTTTTGAAGATATTCAACAGGCTGTAATGGAAGACAGAATAATAAATATTTTGGTTGTAATAATTTATTTGTTTTTTTTTTAATTATGTGTTTGAATGGCATGCTCTTGAAATTCTACTCTCTTATTTGGAGATATAAAATAATCTTTAAACTCATCACTCATTTTTAGAGCGGTTATGTATTGTTTTTAGTAAAACATCTCCTACTTTTGTAGTTCCTGTGGTTTATTATTTTTCGATTTGGCTACTGATGTTCTAATCTTGGTTATTGTTGGTGGGCACTTTTCTCTAATGTCTGCTTGGTCTAATTGTATATCTCCTTCAGCCGCCAATATGACAGAAGACAGAAGTTTTACGTTTTTGCGGCTTTGCGCACAAATTGGCGCATTTCTTATACAAGAAAATGCAACGGACACAAATTCTTGTATCGTTTCTGATATAAGAGACCAATCTTTTTTAAGGTGTCATCCATTTTATTAATTAAACCTTAAAGAAATGGTATAAAGTTTCATTAAAGCTTAAACGAAGAAAGGAAACATTAACATCATTGTGTTTTAGGTAATCTAAAATAGCGGTGGGTATCTCAATATCGTAGGAGAGTAATGTATGTAGGAACGTTATCAAAAAGAAAAATACCTGGTGTTTAAATTACCGTATCATTAATTTTGCACATGGAGTACTTCAGTACTTTCAAAAAAACAGAATGATACTAATTAAATAAAGTAAGTACTTTTAATCAATCAAAGATTTCGTAACTCTATCATAAGTGCAAAACATCACACCGCTAATGCAAAAAAAAGACAAGATCAGATCACAGTACTAGTAGCAAATATTTTCAAAGTTATAAATACGATAAAAACAACGACAGTTTGGTAAATGTTGGCATCTTCTTCTTCACGTGTTATATCAGAATTGTCCGACATTGGCAATCATCATTTCGAAGGCTTCTCGAATTTCTGCCACATGGAATAATTATTCTCAATTTAATGAAGTCCATTCACCAATAATTTTTAACCAAAAAACTTGTTTCCTTCTACACATCTACCGCTTTATGTTTTGTATTTAAGAACCCTTTTTAGTATTCTATATCAATTTCTCCTCACAACAGGACATTTTCCGGTATTCAGTCTTCAGCAATTTTTAATCTTTGTTGACCCGACTTAGTACTTCCTCATTCTTACTGTCCAAGGTATCTTCAGCATCCGTTTATGAATCCATATTTCCAATGCTTCAAATCTGTTTATGCCTCTACTTTTAGTGTCCACACTTCCACATACGAAAGTACAGATCAAATATAGCACTTAAGCAATAAATATCTTAGTTCTAAACTGAGGCAAATCTTGCAAATAAATGCTAATAAATGCCGAATGGCTTTTCGAAGTTCAAGTATTAGCATGCGATCTCGAAAGCTATATGAAGTGCGGACATTTTTGCTCTTACAAAACTCCTAGAATTACGTACTGATTTCTGACAAAAGGCCCCCAGTAATAGAGGTGCATAGCGTACAATGGGTGTACCTTATGTAGCTGACGCAAGCGGGTGAAAAGCGAGTTTCCGGTGCCTAAAAACTGTAACATATTGGCTAAGGGAAATAACATTAACAAAAAATTCTGGGCCTTCAAGAATGGGGGTTAGAGCAATGGGTCAACTCTCCATCATCTTTAAAAATATTGTTTTGCTTAACGTCTTTGTTCATTTCGAAGCAATCACAGCATCAACAAAAAACGACTATGGCAATGGAAATGGATATTAAATTGTGGAAGGTGAAACATAAAGGGAATCAGAACAAACACAGAAGACATTCTACAAGAAGTCATAAAATATAAGCTATATTTTATTCCTCTATCTTAAACCAAAAAATGGCAAGACAGTCAGAAATGAGACAAACACATGGCGATAGAGTATATCGATATATGCAGAATGTGAAAGTGATCATCATTATTTAATAAAAGCCAAGTTAGTAATACATATAATTCGACATATCAAGTATCATAAAAGCTAATTGGAGAATAACAACAAACTAAAATTGGATACACCACAATATAATTTAAAATGTTTCGACAACGAAACAGAGATTAAACAGAAAATAAAAAACAGGGATTATGCCAACTTATGCCACATGAATATAAACATGACAAAACGGAAAACTTATACAAGAGAATTGTAGAAAGAGTTCACCAAGCAGCAAAATATGCACTGGAATATACGAATAATAAAAATACAAGAATAGATAAACTTCTTTTAAAAAAAAAATTACCAATTTGGTCAAAAACCGTTTGGCCGGTAGGTACTAGAGAGTTTTGTGCAAGCAAATACGTATCCATAACGTATCTTTTTAACATATAAGCATGCGCATTAATGGTTGAACTAACGTTTTTAGATACGTATTACCTAACGTAACGGGCTGATACATTACGTTCATACGCATCCCTATCGAGCCGAAAGTAATCGAATGCACAAGGAGATCTTACCCGATTACCAAAATATCAACCTCCAATTCAGATTTGTGGTTAAGTATATTTGTTTTGATTTTTATAAATAATGGAAAGCAGTAGAAAAAGTCTTCACTTCAGTAATGAAGATGATATGTTTTTGTTTAAGGAAGTCGTAGGCCAGAACCCTTACGATCATCCAGAAAGGCAAGATTTAATCAAAAAGCGAAGAATATTTTTACATTGTATATCAGACATGGTATCTAAATTATATTAAAGCGGCCACATAGTCTTGCACGATGTGGAGAAGAAGCGGATTTTCTATGTCCTCGTCTTCTTCATCATCAATAATGGCACCTACATTATTGCTTCCATCTCCAAAATTAAAAATTGTTTAAACAATATTTGTTATTTATTTTGAATATCAAAAATGGAATTAAGTGACAAGACATGCACTGACAACTTACTAGTTTATCAATAATTCGATGAGGGCAACACCATCGTTACGTTACGTGCAGAACTTTAACTCTTAATTTAACGTTCATCTTCTTCGATACGTTAGTTCTTTGCGTATAGGGAGATACGTTACGTTAGGGAGTTACAAAAACTCCCTACTAAAGCAAGCCTAAATGTGGCAAACGCAGGTAATAAATATGAATGTGTGAATTAAGATGGTACTGCGGTACTATAATTATCTCCGCATGTTAATATAAAGAGTAGAAAAGTATTTTAGTGTTTGTTAATACTTACATCGTGCTGAACATTTCCTTCAGTAGTTATGGATCGGGTTATTGAAAATGCTATTCCAATTATTACCAAAATTTTTGCGTAAAATGCAGATGATATATATGTTAATTCTTCGCTAAAATATCAAGAGTAAACTAAAATTACGCTATACTTATGCTACGCTCTTATACAATATAAGTCTGTAACAACTTGGAACTGTAAACAGTTTCTTAAGCAATTGACAGAGTACAAAAATAACATTGCTGTTATTACAACATATAGCAAAATTAAATATTTCGCTATTTCAATAATTTTGGACAATAGTGTACTAGATTAAAATTCGTTTGAACATAAATATACGTTTTGTTGTCTAATCTCTACCATTCTACAGGTTGTTAATATTGCTATGAAATTAATAATTGCGAAAAACACGAAAAAAAAAGATAAGTTTTTTTCACCCTGTCAATATGGATGACCCTGTATATTTAAATATATTTGCAAATTTTGGTCATATCAATGCAATGTCTAATTTTTTTCTTATCTCTTGCGACAAAAGTGTAAGGTACATCGGGGTAAGTGGAAAGCTGGGTCAAGTGGAACCAACGCTTATTTTGCTAAATTGAACTTTTGTAAAATGGTTCCACCTATTTAATACTAGAGTATTTATAATTTTTATAATATGCTCTGTGGTAGATGGAATCGCTAGTTATTTATTTACAGTTTGAATTCGACTGCAGATTCTTGACGATTGTCGTCGCATAGTGAGTTACCAAGTGTTTGTTGTCAGTGCGTAAATTTCAGAAGAGAATTGTGAAATTATTTAAACTGTTTAAGTGAGTACACTAAAGAGAGAGTAGTCCTTTATTGTAACGTTATAAACGTCCCATCTTTGTTAACTTATATATAAATAATTATTTAATTTTATTTTAAGTTTCGTTCTCTCTCGTCCGGTAGACTAAATATTTTGTTCTATATTGATAGAAGAGCTAATTCCATCATGAGCATACGTCCTACGTCATCTGTGCAAACTTCATTTTGGTGTCCCTACTTTCTGTCAATCAACTTTTCTAATGTAGTGGAAATATACTTGTTTGCCTGTTTTTGAAAATTATAAAAGGAGGAAAAAATTATTTTAATTTTCATTTTATGGTCTGCAGAATTCTCTTGGCTTTATTGGCCGTATTCAGGATTTTATTGACTATATTATGAAGTTTTCGTTGGCTGTATTTCTAGAAGTTTATTGGCTTTATTGGTTTTATGGGATATTTACTGAAGAGTATATGGAATACCATGCTCTTGTCTAAATACAAAATTCGATAGAAGAAAATTATTTACACAGGATAAATAACCAAACATAGAAGAACTCAAAATGAATCAAGAGCAATATCAAAGTAAACTAAAAAAGAGACTAGGACCTCTACCACTATTCAACACGAAAGATATAAATGAAATTACACAAAAATTAACGAATGACCTAACATCAACTGCGAAAAAGATCTGTGGTAAAAATAGAAATCCAAAAAAACAAAATTGAAAAAAACAACACTGGGTTTAATGGAAGAAAGAGGAAGAACATCGAAAGAATCCCCAGAGTATAAGGCTATCAACAATATAGTAGAAAAGAGCATAAGGCCAGACTTGTAAGCCTATCAAACAAATATTGCAAACATGAGAGTATTGAAATTAAATTTAACTAAATAAAAATCAAAGATAACTAAAATTACAAATCAATACTTATATACTTAATAATTATATTACACGGTACCCTACACTTATTAAAAACATTTATGAATAGGTCACCTTCCACATCAAAATCAATGAAGATGAAAAAACTGAAAAAATGCGTCTTCGTAAAGGTATTAGACAAAGTGTTTTGACTATTTCATCAAGCTTTTAACCTTAGCATTGAAAAATGTATACAAACAGCTCAACTGGGAGCAAAAAGGACTAAGCATTGATGGTGTACGTTTGAGTCATTTGAGGTTTGCGGACGACATAGTATTATTTAGTACAGATATCAAGGAACTGAAGCAAATACTCAAGGAATTAAATCAGCAGTAAAATAAAATAGGTCTTAAAATGAACCTTCGAAAACAAAAATTATGAGTAATTTACAAACTAATATTGTTATTGATAACGTCAGTCTTGAAAATGTAAACCACTATATATATATATATATATATATATATATATATATATATATATATTTTGTGTGTGTGTATGTCGTATTATTGTTATATATATATATATATATATATATTATTTATATACTATATGTTTGAACATACATTAAAATCGGAAAGAAAAGAAAACCAAATAGCCGAAAAAAGACCCATAAAATTGTTTTGACTACTTTTCGGCAAGTTAAGCTTTACTCTAAAGAATAAAGATATATCCAATGTATGCTAAAACGTGGAGTTCATGACAAATGTATATTGCCTGTAACTACATATGGGCTGGAGGCCATGGCCTTTAGAAAGAAAACCTGAGAGCAGCTCCGTACAACACAAAGAGCGATGGAGAGAGCCGTGTTAGAGATTATTTTAAGACAGGATTCGAAATATCGACATTCGTGAAAGTACAAACAATACTGATGTAGTAGAACGTATAGCAACGCTCAAGTGGCAATAGGTCGGACACGTTGACCGAGGTAATCCCAAAAAATGGACACAGAGATTAACAAACTGGAGACCAAGAGAGAACACGCGTGGAGTAGGCAGACCACAGAAGAGGTAGGCAGATGAGATCAAACAAGTCGTTGGCAAGCAGTGGATGAGAATTGCCAAAAGAGAATCAATGGAATCAAATGTCCAGCAATGGACAAATACATGCTGAAGAGGAAGAAGAAGAATAAAAAGATAAAACAATAATCAGGAAAAACAGCTATTCACACTTCTCGTCCAGAGACGCATTAGAATATTTGTTTAACACATTACTAGAAATAGGTCATGAAAAGAAAGGTAAATAATAATTAAATAAACGAAAAAATAAAATTGGAAAGCATGATTCGATTTTATGTTTGTAAAGCAGTTAGTTAATGCCTCTTCAGTAATCTGGCAAAAAATAAGTCAGATTAAGAGATATAGTTTCTGGTTAATGCATTTGAAATAGCAACTACTGAAATTCTCGAATTCACTGACCCCGTTGTACCTTAATTGGACTGCCTTGCACTAATGCCGCACCCTATATGAAATTGAAATCTGAAATTATATTATATTTCTTTTGATATTAATTTTTGGTTGTTATATTTTTTAAAAATAGTCCCATATGTGACATATATTCGATAAAAAGTAATATCCTATAAGAAAAAAGGTACTTATTTGTAAATTGAGAATAGCCTAATTATTGATTTATATCCCACGAAATCAGAAACTGGGACGAACCCCATATAATGAAGAGATTATCTCTTTGTACTCACTCCTCCAATTGTCTCCCTTTCTTTTCCTTTTGAGGCTTGTGCCTCGTTTCTGGTAAATACTCAATGTCGAGCGCCGGCAGTGAATGATGTAGCCTTTCTCTGGAATATTAAAAACTAAAGAGAGACAGATAAAGCGGTAGAGTCGGTTCCATGAGATTTCGGTCCGGTTCACCGAGAAATTCTATTTAGGGTTGATGTTAAAATGAGGATTTACCTTTTAAATTATTTACGCATCTTAAATCATGTTTTCATTGCATAATTTTGTAACGTAAATAAATTTTATGTAGGTTTTTACATAAGTTACAATTAATAATATTCAAAATTGATACAGGCATGGACAAAAAGTGTAATATTTTGAAATTATCGTAAATATATTCAACATAATCTCATCGCTCATCTTTCCAAAACACTTTTTTCAAATAGAACTTTATTTAACACGTTTTAAGAGAATAATTCAAATTGTCGCATAAAAACAAAACTTTTAAATAGATTTGTTCAGTTGTTCTATTTTTATTGTCTCTATGTACACCTGGACCAGTATAAAATTCAAATATTTATACAATATATAATTATATATATTATATATATATAGATATATATATATATATATATATATATTATAATAGTTAAGAAATAATAAATAAGACTTACTCACAATCAATTTAATTTAACTATCCAACGACCGGTTTCGCTTTCTACAATATGCAAAGCTCTTCACGTCTCGATACAAAGTTAAATAATTGCTGAAATAATATAACCCATATTAGGGTGTTATCTAATAAAGATAAACTAAGTATATGTTATAAATTACAGTACCTAATTATGCCAATATTGCATGTCTGTGGTTTTTCAAAATGAATAAAAAGGAATAAAAAGGTATAAAAAGTTTTAACAGACAAGCTAAGACCCACAAATTGTTATAAAATAGTCTATTAGATGTGATGTTCTATACCATTGTATTATTTAAAAGTTTTTCTGACTACTAACATTGCGTTTTCTCGTGAAATGGATCCATTTAAATCACATTTCATAAATATATCTTTTGAATAAGTATAAATAACTTTTAAATAATACAATGGTATATAACATCACTTTCATCTAACAAATAATCACATTACACCTATCTCTACTTCATTGGATCAAATCTATCTCCTCAAGAACTTCCCGTTTATTGTCAAACAACTACAATATCAGACTTAAGTTCTCCATTCAACAATACATGACAGTTTCAACCATGTTCTACCATCCATCAATTAATAGAGTACCGGCATGTAAGTAATGTTTTGTTTATTTGCTCATTTATTAATTTATTACAATCGAATTGACTATTTTATAACAATTTGTGGCTCTTAACTTGTCTGTTAAAACTTTTTATACCTTTTTATTCCTTTTATTCATTTTGAAAAACCACAGACAGGTAATATTGGCATAATTAGGTACTGTAATTTATAACATCTAGTTTGTTTATTTTTATTAGACAACACCCACTATATGTGTTTATTATTATTTCAGCATTTATTTAACTTTGTATCGAGACCTGAAGATGCTTTGCATATTGTAGAAAGCGAAACCGGTCGTCTGGATAGTTAAATTAAATTGATTGTGAGTAAGTCTTATTTATTATTTCTTTACCTATTTGAAATGGACTCACACAAGCAACACATTCATGTAGTTTATATGTTTATTATATCGTAAATATTAAAGTGTTTCCAAATGTACGTGATGTTTATTTTGTTTATTTTTCTGAGAAGAGTGATTAGATTGTATGGGTTCTATTTTCGGAAGCGTTTGCCGAGTATCTTAATGTTGTACTAGACTTGATAGCTTGAAGATTAGAGTTGGAGTGTGGTGTACAATCACTTGTGAAAAACAAAATAATAAGCGCTTGCTGAAAAATGAGCTCCAGGAGAGGACCCACAGAAGAGGAATTACGAAAAGTCCTTGCAGAAGACTCAGAAAATAAAGATGAATCTACCAATTTAGAAACCGTTACTACTGAATAAGAGTTAGTAGATGAAGAATTTTCTGAAGAAGATCATGTATCTTCTTGTCACCATCACGGTTGATGATGACAAAGATAAAGCGAAAATTCGGAAAATAAAATCGAAGTTCCTGAACAAGAAGATTTACAATATACTGTTCGTAATGCTCGAATTCAAATAAATGACAGCATATCAGACAGGGTTACATAAATGGTCTTAAAACTAAATCCAAAAACTAAAATAAAGATCGTGCAAGTTTATGCTCCAACTGAAAAAGCAACCGATGAGGAAATAAATTATTTTTACCAAGACGTTAAAAAAGCTATAGACAACAACAAATAATCCAAAATAATAATAATGGGAGACTTTAACGCCAAAATTGGAAGTAATATTGAAGACTCTGAAAGCAAGAATGGAAACTTTGGATTCGGCACAAGAAACACAAGAGGAGAAAAACTTATGGAATTCCTGGACCAAGAAAACATGTATGTTATGAATACCTTCTAAAGAAACCTAACAGAAAGTGGACATGGGTAGCACCTAACGGAACTACCAAAAATGAAATAGACTATTTTCTCTCAAACAACAAAGGAATATTTGAAGACGTCACAACAATAAACAACGTAACAACGGGCAGTAACCATCGTATAGTCAGAGCAAAAATAAATAATAACATGAAAAAAGAGAGAAAAAGGATTTAAAAAAAAACAACGAGGATAGATTGCCTTTAAACTAATAACAAATGAAGAGCGATTCCGAGAGGTCTTAGCGGATAAGTTCGAATCTGATCCTTCACATAATCATGATCAAATTGACGAGATTAATAAAAACCTAAATAAAACCTTCTCGAAGCACGACTACAGGTCGCAAAGAAAACAAGGACTAAAGAAGACAAAATAAGCAATGAAAAACTGAAACAGCTAATGACGGAAAGAAGACAACTACTAGCGCAAAACAAACGCCATACTCAAGAATATAGAGAACTTAATAAAACAATTAGAAAAGAACTAAAACGCGACATACAAAAATGGAACCAGAACTTAATAGAGCGAGTCATTGAAAACAACAGAGGCTTAAAATGTCTAAGACCCGAACTGGGAGTACAAAAAATCATTAAAATTAAAGACGTTAACAATAAGGTAGAGAAGGACAAATATAAAATAACAAATATTGTCGAAGACTTCTACACATCCTTGTACAGCTCGCAAGGCCAGCCTAATGAAACAACAAAGGAGAACGTCCAAAGAAAAATAAAAAATGTAACAATAAAACACTGAAAACTTTGTTTTCAAACTTCCACAAAAATTTTATTTTAACTCTTATCACTACAACTGTTTCGGCTGATTACCTTTCTCAAGTGATCTATTTTGGAATACGTTTACACTTTATAGTCTCTAATGAAATAGGTTGAGGAGGGGAGAACTGTTTGTCTTAAGTTGGTCATTCAGAATTATATCTGTGTTTTTTAATTTGTTGATTTCCATAGATTCTAACAAGGATAGCTTAAGGATTAACAAGGATAGCTTAACAAATTAAAAAACACAGATATAATTCTGAGTGACCAATTTGAGACAAACAGTTCTCCCCTCCCCAACCTATTTCATTAGAGACTATAAAGTGTAAACGCATGCCAAAAATAGATCACTTGAGCAAGGCAATCAGCCGAAACAGCTGTAGTGATAAGAGTTAAAATAAAATTTTTGTGGAAGTTTGAAAACAAAGCTTTCAGTCTTTTATTGTTACATAAAATGAATTTCCATCATGTAACGGTCGAATCCATCAAAAAATAAAAAACGTGGGATCAGAAGTACTACCAAATATAAAGCGATACGAAATAGGAAGAGCCTTAAAAGAACTAAAAAATAATAAAGCTCCAGGACACGACGGTATAATTACCGAGCTCTTGAAAACAAGCAAGACATTAACAATCCCTGTACTAACAGAGCTATTTAATAGATGTCTCCATAATAGCCAGATCCCTAAAGACTGGAACGAGAGTCTAATAATACTCTTACACAAAAAAAGGAGACAAATGTGATCTACAGAATTATAGACCTATATCGTTGCTGAGTCAAGTATACAAACTATTTATGAGCATTATTAATAACCGGTTAACCTACAAAATGAATAATTACCAACTGGTTGAACAGGCTGGCTTCCGCAAAGGATATAGTACATCAGACCATCTGCTGACAATGAGAACATTGATAGAGAAGGCAAATGAATACTAACTACCCGTATTTCTTGCCTTCGTCGACTATGAAAAGGCGTTTAATAGTATCGAGATGTGGGCCATAGAACAAGCTATTAATAATTGTAGAATCGACTCGAGATATAGGCAACTAATACATAATATATATGAAAATGCAACTATGATAGTAGAACTAGACGAAAATCCAAATCCCATCCCCATTAAGAGAGGAGTGAGACAAGGAGGCGTAATATCGCCAAAGCTTTTCAACCTAGCCCTAGAAGACGTCTTTAAAACTACAAATTGGTTAACCTATGGCATTGATGTTAATGGCAACAAGTTAAACCACCTCAGATTCGCTGACGACATAGTGATTATAGTGAGCACATTCGAGGAACTGCAAATTGTGTTGGGGGAACTAGCAGCCAGCTCCCAATACGTCGGCCTAAAAATAAATATGAAAAAAAACAAAAATAATGGCAAATACAGATGACCACAGACATATAACTATAAACGGCAGTGAGATAGAACAAATCCAGGAATATATCTACCTAGGCCAAATCCTGAGACTTGACAAAGAGAACCAAAGTGCGGAATTACTAGAAGAGCAAGACTAGCATGGGCAGGATTTGGAAAACTTAGTTGGATACTTAAGAACCGCAAAATACCATAATACTTAAGGAGCAAAGTGTTCAACCAATGCATCCTTCCTATCATGACATATGAATGTCAAACCTGGACCCTAACCAAGGCAAACATAAATATACTAGCCACAACAGAAATAACAATGGAAAGAGCAATGTTAGGTATACGACTGTCAGATAAAAAGAGGAATGACTGGGTAAGATCCAAAACAAAAGACGAGGACATAACAACAAAAATTGCCAAACTTAAATGAAGCTTGGCGGGCCACACTGCTAGACAGAAAGAC